CGATAACCAACTTACCAATATGGTAACATAGACTAGGTTGCTGTTGTTGCACAGTCACATCCACTAATGCCACATCAGCATTGTAGAATGTATCCAAAGCATTTGCTTCTCCAAAATCCAATCGATCAAAATCGATTTGCTACAAATCAATTTACGGATTTATGTACGACGATTGCACCAGCCAGAACTTACTGTAAGGTTGACATTTAATGTATCTGCAACATTTTGCACATCCTTTAACGCCATTTCACGGACTCTGAGATTCTTCTGCACCTTTTGATCGATAACGATCACAACTTGTAGCTTACGCGTGAAGTTAGTGCCCTGTAATCAATGTAATTTGACTTTTAAAGGAGATTTTTTGAAGATAATATGTGAAATGCTAGCCTTAAATCAATTTATCTATTGATTCCTTGAAAAATCGTGTACATTCTAACATCGACCATTAAAAAGGTTCCTAATTTTTCTCTTGGAGTTCTAAGACATTCATGTATTTTTCTTAATAAATCATCAGAGTCAGGATTCGCATTGGTAAATGATCAGCTAAAATTCCTCAGCAATGCAGATTATTTGGGACATCGCAAGCTTTCAGACAATCAAAGAGATAGTTTCAAATAGCTTCAATTATAGTCACTTTTTAAGTGGACTTCCACCGTGTGCCTCACAGATTTGGAATTTGAAAAGAAACATCCCCTTATTCTTTTCTTTGTATATATTTTGTGTAGTTACATTACTGACAAATTTTGCGACGGTGAGATTCCGCCTGAGATTATCACAGACACTGAGATAAAGTTTTTATAAACAATTTATCTCCATCTCTTTTACAACTCGATATTTATTCAATTATATATAAGGGTAAGTCATAATGAGAATTTCTTAGCCTCGGACTTCCATAAAACAAAATCAAACATCCAAGATTATGACAGTCCTTTACTATTATCTTCTATACTATTCATGCGTTTGTTAGCCATTTTAATTTAAGTCTTTCTTAGGTGGCACTAAATAAATGCCACTCTTCTGTCTGTTTGTTTTTTACGGATTCAGCCCAGAAGAAATAAGGACCTCATTTTCAAAAGTTTTGAAAGAATGTGTCGCTTCTTGGAGCAACTTTTTTTTCATCAAATTCAGACCCTGGACTCCTTTAGAATCTGAAGGAAGACAGCCTTTGTAGTTTGTCCATTTGTAGGGGCTTTCTAGGTAAGACGAAGTTGGATTTTTTCTTCGCTTATATTTCTACTTTTCACCTTTCCATGCAAGTCATAAATTTGGTTCTGTAGACAACACTGAATACTTCACGTTCACATATTTTCGTTTTCTCTTACTAACGTTTCTCTCTTTCATTAGGAACTTCTTTGTCCTCATCACAAGTTCTCTCCAAAAAAACTAATGCTCAGGTGGTTTACCAAAAAAAAGACCGTAACCTGGTGATAGGGCAACGAAGCCCAAGATGTTATAGAACTCCCATGAGCAGATATGTGTTTTCAAAAAAAAATCGTTACATAGCTAACACATGCAAAGATATT